CCACATAAGCGGCTATAAATGTTTAGCTTATCAGGCATCTGCATGCGAGGGATCCGCCTTGAGTCCATGTGGACTCTGCACACATGTTTGCAGATACATGTCAGCACAAATATTTGGGGCAGTTCAATTTAACCTTTTGATGCACCCTATTTTAACACACCTGAATCAAATGAATGGCTCATTAGTAAGCCTTTGTTGGAAAATGAGGGGAGTGAACCCTTAGACTCAGGTGTGTTAGAGAATAGAAGCATCTGAAATGTTAAAGGACAGTAGCTCTTGAGGACTGGACTTTAGCTACCCTGATACAAAGCATGTAACAAATTACCTCGTTTCTTGAAAAAACGACATAAATTCCAATGATAAGGGTGAGAATAATTCCAATTCCCATGACACCTGCAAACTATACAGAAAACAGCATGAGTAACAACCAAATTGATTTCAATTTGATATGGATTAAGAAGTATTTTTGTCAAGTGATTTATTGTAACTCCTGTACATACAATTTTGAGGCAGCTTTTATTCTCTTTGCATGCAGCATGGCTCCCCAGCAAGGAGACCCCAAAAATGCCAAAGGCATAGACCCAACTCCAGACCATTTTCCAGCCATCCCATTTTTTCATCTGGATTTGTGAAGAAAAGAAGACATATTTTACTGTTTGTATTTATACATTATTTCTTGTCATATAATTCAATTTTGGCTTATATTTATTTATTTGGAATATTTTGTATCCATTAAATTGTATGCCTATTAATTTATTTTGTATTTATTTATCTATTCATTTTTAATTATGCCAGAGTTGGTCCTCCATAATCAAGTTTTTGCTATCACTGTTAAAAATAACCAAGCTTTTGTCTTAATAACTGTAACAGAAAATGTGACTATAGTATCAACGTTTGCATTGTAGTATTTGCATTAAGAGATGTAGGCAGAAAAGGCTTAAGCCCCATTTACACTACCGCTTTGAAAGCGCGCCAAGATCGGTCAGAGCACGATAACCGAAAATTGAACAGGACCATGCCAGACATTACCGAAACATGCTAAACTGGTACTAGTTCATCAGTAGGGCTTAGCGCAGTTTAGTTCTGGTACGGTTCTCATATGACAAAGAGCCCATGAGCAGACCACATCATCTCCTTATAGTCAGCCTCCGTAATGATGAAATTTCAGACATTCATAAGAACACTAGCTTCCCTACTGTGCCACATGATTACCAGTGAGGATTCTGCTTAGTAGTGTGATGAACCTCAACGTCTGTCGTTGTTTCCTGCGTCTGTAAGCCCTGATTAGACTATCGCTTGTAGTATCCACTTTCCAAAAACTGACTGTCTCAACTAAATTTACTAAAGGCTTCCCTTTTTGCCTGACTCTCCTCAAACAACAAAATGTCGCAATTGTGACCAAACTTCTTGAATGTTACCGGCCCCGCATTGTTGATTTGCTTCCCTCTAGAGTGCAGTATTACTGTAGATCATCTCAGAGCAACCTTCTCAGAGCAGAAGCGTACTGTTTTAACCCACAAAGTCAACACTCCCTATGTCTTGTTCTCAATTTACTTTGTAAGTAAATAAAGTGCCGACTGAGTAAATCCACGGATCTCCGTTTATTTAACTGGACTGTATAGTTGAATATTTTTTCAGCGATAGGTGCTAAATTATTATGGCCCCAGCGACAGAGCTAGGCAAACCCTTAAGGCAACCCACACCAAGTAATTTGTTACTCCCATGTGGATGTAATTCACCTCCTCTATTCAACAAGCAATTCCCTCTAAACCAGAGGGCAGCAGCAGGGTTACTCTCAATTGGAATGTCTTACATAAATTGATATTTTAATTATTAGTATATTGATTATAAAGTGACCCAAAAAAAACAAAGATGCAATATTGACATACTAATATTAAAGATAAAAAACTCAGAATTGACGCTCTTTTTAGCACTAGATTTGGTGTATTGTGAAGGAGAAGGTAAAGGAAAAAATAGTAGACTAGATCTGATTACATTTTTTGCCACCTAAAACCACCTCACTAGATCCCAATGTAAAATATTTAAACTATTTCATGTTAAACATAAAGCACATTCAACTTTAATACATTACCTTGACAACTAAGCCAGCAGATATCAAATCATAGATCATCAAAGCTCCGACAACCTAAGGAAAGAAGGTAAGATTAGCTACATTTAAAAAAAAACACAGAAAAGGGAACTGTACATTTATTCAGTTCAGGTTTGCGAAGAAAATAAAGTGAAGTATAAAAGGATATATTCATTTATTATGCACTAATATTAAGCATTGGTAAATAAAGAAAAGCAAGTATCACTGATGAAATATTAACAAGCTAAAATACTTTTAAATTGATTCTTTTTTGGTTCTCGCACAGTAAAAAGCGAACATCCATTCGTCTATACCTATGCTTGCTGGTCATGTTATATGTTTCTCTTATTAAAGCAATATATAAAACTCTTTGTCTTTACGAGAAATTATATATTTTCATGCTTTCTGCTAAAACAATCAGTCCCCTTTTAGTTGGAAATAGAAAACAGCGGTGATAGGGAATTGTTTGAGCAGGGACAGATTGCAATTTATCAATTTCTTAGAGTGATGACATTATACAGCACACGCAAAAATGTTTTCCCCTTCTTGCAGCGATAAAGCAAGGAATTTCCAGAGCTGCTCTGGGTTTACTGGGGAAAAAAATTATTTTATTGGAAATCATTTTTATTTTCTCAAGCCTTGTTTTTGTTCTACTTTTGTCAATATTTTTGTAATTTAGCTCAAACTTATTTGGCTAAAACGGTTGATTAATTTACTTTAGTTAATGTGGTTGGCCTGTATGAAGATCACCTAGTTTAGCCAGCACATGAGGTTTTATCATGGCTGATAGAAACGTGGAAGGAAGCAACAGGTGTTACATTTGTCCCCATTACAAAAAAATAAATAAAAAAGAAACTGGTTCAAAGATTGTTTTATGCTCCCTATGTTACTGAAAACCCATGTATTTTAAATCTTTGACATGCAAATAAGACCTTCCCATTTGGGCAATCAGACTTTTCATCTGATCAAAGCTGATAAATGTTTTAACAATGTAAATATTTTTCTTAACAGTGAATATATATTTTATTGGTTACATTTTACAACTGTCTCTTTAAATTTATTCACTTTTATGAGTTTTAAATGTAATTAAAAATTAACAGTCATATGCAAAACCTGTTGCAGCTTTCCCCTTTTATCTATAAATTGTCTTACCGTAAACAAGATATTGAAGAAGGCAAAAACGGTCTTCAGGAATCTGTTAATTTTCCCCATATTTTCTTTTTCTTCGTGACTCTACAGATAAGAGACAGAGAGCGCTGTAATATAGAGATATTTTAAAAAGAATGAGTTTGCCATTTAGTCTGAAGAATAAGGGGTACAGTTTCACCAGAGAGAGCTAATTTGCAGTCAGACAGTGAAACCTGCCAATGTTTAACAAACTTTAATGTGAAAAAAAACAATCCAGTGATTAAAAATTTATCAAAACAAAATATTAACAAATGTATTACCTTTTTAGTTTGAGTATTTCTTTTCTATAATTCAAGATCTAACAAATGTTTTCCTGTTTAAAATTATAGAAAAATTAAAGAGATGTTTTTTTTAAGATACAACACATAACTATTTTGAACATAAAACATCCCCAGTCTGCACAAGAACAAGAGAGCAAAGTATAAAATCAAGGGAGAGAAAAACTTACTGCAGGTCCAGGAGGAAGCCCAGAAAATTGTTAGAAATATTTTGTGATCAAAGAGTATTTCCTGCTTTGAACTACAGTTTCACCACAAACCACGTCACTATATCAGCTTTTTTTTTTTTTTTTTTTTTTTTTTTTTACAAAACATAATGTAAAGAATGTAAAGAATAATTTCTTTTAGCACTTCCTGCTGTTTAACTACATTTTGTTTCTTATTTCTAACTATAAAAAGAAAAAAAAACAATATATGATTACATTTTTATATATCATACTCATAATTGTTGTCTTTCACTTTGCTAAGGACTGGGTTGCAGGGGCAATAGACCTAGAAGAGACTTTACATTTGCCAGCTGTGCTGGGGGAAGCCTGAGTTGCTCCCAGTCCTGCTGAGAGACATTGTGTCTTCATGTCCTGGGTCATCCCCTTTTCCTCCTCCCAGTTCAATATGCCTGGAACATCTCCTGAGGGAGGAATCATGAAGGCATCTAAAGCCTGTATATATTCTAGAGCTTAAAAATGTGTCTTTAACATACTAAATTGTCTATTTTTTTTTTTTTTTTCATTGCTCTGTACATTTTTGAATGCTGCATCTGCTGTTCTGGTAATGTACCTTTGTTGATGAGCACCAAGTCTTCCAGGTTGTAAAGCTCCTTTACCAATAAATCCATCTCATGCTTAAATAGTTGTAATTTCCCTATATGTAACTAGGTTTTGGTTCACTCCTAAACTAACTCTGATTTCCTTCAGTTCTGAATGCCAACTGGCCCCAATCCAACCCACATACAGGATGCATATGTCTCTATGGACTTAGCAAGCCATACTTAGTAGTAAACACTGACTGTGTCCGAATGTTCACCCTAACCACTATATAGGGCACTATGTAGTGGACTGTGTTGTTTTGCGAGGAGAGCTCTCCTCGGAGTTATGTAACCAACAGGAGTGATCATCTGTCTGAAAGGCCTGTTAACTGAGTTCTATATAATTTTCAATGTATAGTCCCCGCTCTATACAGTGATTGAGTGAAGAAGAAAAACACAGTTTAATACTGTTTCACTCATCCATCACCCACCCATCCATCATACATCCATCATCCATCTGTCTATCCATCCAACCATCAATACATCCAGACGTATGTCTAAATACTTGAAAAATAGATTGATAACTTAACCCTGCAAATCGGATCAACTTGCTCTATGCCTGAGGTAAATAAATCCAATAGGATACTTTTTTCATCACTCTTGCCCCAGACATTATTGCCAGAAAACCAAAAAATAAAAGTAATACAGAATGCTGAATTTTATTAAACACAATAGTTTCCCTTACAATTAGACTGTTCAGTCTGTCAAACTCTTTATCTTAGTAAAAATGAAAAACCAAAGAAAAGAAACATATCTTTTAAACTGAAATAACATCACATTATTACACATTAATCCTTTCCAAAGCAGAGAGGCGGGGTCTGGAGTGAACAAGTCATATCTATACAAAGTATTTGATCTGCTCAGCCACTGAACCAGGTAAGTCCAATCTGGTTTGCAGATTGGAATCTCGAGGTATTAAAGTTAAAAAGCCCGCATTGCAATAGTTGTGTCTCCAAAGCGGTCATGACGATTAATCTGCCCAACCATGTTGAGGGAGATGATCAATCCAAACATCTGCAACAAGTGGACAGAAAGGTAGTTAGAAGCTGCTGGATTGGCCCCGTCAATCATGTGTCAAAACAGAAAAGGTCCAGATTGAATGAAAATCGTTAAAGTAATACCGTTACTCAAAATGGAAATACACAAATATTTACGAACAATAGGTCTGGTTAGAGCAATAGTTCTGGTTGGTTCCCTTACAGACACGTTTAAAAGCTACAGAAGGGATTGTACATTTCGTTAATTATGGAAGGAGACTTAAGAACTTCTACACCACAGCGGCATTGTCAATGAAGCAAAAAAACAAAAGACGACCAAAGACCAATTCTACATTTCTTGACTCACTTGTAATGTGATTTACATATCTTTTAAAAACAAAGAGGCAAGTGTATGAAATCACCCGGTGAACTGCTGCTAGTTTTACTCATGCCTGGAAGATGTCTAGTGCTACTACCACAGATGATCTTGATGATCAAGATTCAGATTAGCTAGCTAAATGAATAGAAGGGGTAGAGCGTAGCCGCCTGTGGCCCGGGCTGCCTGTCACAACTCCAGTCCAGCGCTCGGATGACGTCATACACACTCTACTTTGATATAAATAATATAACCGTGGATGTCTGGGGGACAGTGATTCACCTACATGTTAGGAATGCTGGCGTACCATAAAAAACACATTATGAACAGTTTAGTTTGTGCCTTCAAGTCGTTTGCCCATAGGTAGACGTTACTTGGATATAACCTAACAGAATATCTTCAGAACAGCTCCAAATTACACAAAACCCATATGGGTGAGTAGAACATGATGTAATAATGTAAAATCAAGGGCCTAATGTAAAAAAATGGCGTTCCCTTTTAATTTATAATAAATTTTACAGTACATACTTGTATCCGTTTTGGAAAATAAGCAGCTTTAGTTTAATCAATATACATTTTGCAGAAAATGTTTATTGTTTGTGGTTTAATTAAACCCTTTATATATTGACCCCCGCAAATAATACCTTGCCACCCCTGTCTAGCTCCCCCACTGCATGGGTAGCTATTTATTGTTTCCATGCTTGGTATAGGTATATTCACATAAGTGTATGTATGCATTTGTGTACATGTATATTATGTATGTCTATATGTATGCATATATACATATATTATTTGGGGGGGGGGTAACTCCTCTCCTTTTTTAGTTGTAAATCTAGGCTTATGATTTTCTGTAAGATTACTGTGTAACTAATCTAGCAGTTACATGTGTAACTGTAAGTGTAATTGCATCACTGCTTGAAACAAATGGAAGGAAGGAAGGAAGGAAGGAAGGAAGGAAGGAAGGAAGGAAGGAAGGAAGGAAGGAAGGAAGGAAGGAAGGAAGGAAGGAAGGAAGGAAGGAAGGAAGGAAGGAAGGAAGGAAGGAAGGAAGGAAGGAAGGAACTTACCGCAACAACACTGAATCCAAAATAGACACCTAATAACATCTTGATGCCAATATCAGCGTAATATATGATGACGTCACGGCAAGACTGCAGAGAGAAAGGTGGGAATTAACTTATTGATTTTAGGTGTTGCTAAGGCTCATAGGAACTTTTCTGAATACCTGAGAATAGATGTTTGATGGTCCTCTATATCGCTGTGAGAAAACAGTAACACATTAGAAGGGTAACAGATAGTTTGACAAATTTTTTACTAAATATATTTTATATGATAATTATTTAGATTTTTTATTTTTTTTTACCTGGGGGTTGGAGGTACATTCTGTGTTTGATGATGATATGCAGCTACAAGAGTAAGGGATATCTGAATATTCCTTGAAACCAGTCCATCCACAGCACTGCATCTGCAGGATAAGACATAATGTAAAGGATGGGTTTTATACGTTTTACCTTCTGCCACAAAACAACAGCAGATATTTTTACTTTAATAGTATTTTTTGGCAACAACTGTTTTCATAGAGAAACTAAAAGGGAAAGCTCTTTATCTTACACTTTTTTCCATTTCCTTAAGCGTTTGACGATCCTCCATGAAAATCTTTGCAACTTCATCACTTTTCAAGTTTTCTTTCAACTAAAAGGTAAGAAAAACATAATTAGAGTTATCAGAGTCAAAACACATGCAGGATTAAAGTAAAAGTATGATCTGAATTGCACTTTTTGCAAGACATTTCAGCAATAAATCCCACAGGATGGTAAAGGAGAACACGGACCTTAAAATTACCTGACTGCCTGTCATGGTAACTGGGAATAAGTAATAAATAGACCGTTTCTCTGGAGGTTTGAACTGGCTGTGGTATCCTGTTCTGCATAAATGTGTTCACCTGATGTCTAGTGCTTGAGTTATAAGAATGTGTGTTAGTAAGAGGCTTGAATAGGGATAAAGACTGAGAACTAAGGTCTAGTTATGGATGTTTGTCTTTAAATAGGGGCTTAAGGCAATTTATTCTTCTGACACATAGCCTCATCAACTGTCAAATCTGTTTCTCAAAAAAATCCTGACTACCCACTGGACGGTCGCAAACCCACGCAGACCCCAAGCAGAAGTACCCAATCAAAAAGCAGTTGTGATTCGTCCTTGGTATACCTCTCTAGCTGTCTGTGTGGTCGTCTTTTTCGATTCGGTGCCGTGGCGTGCCATTTTTAAAAACCGAGGAAAAACTAAAATGGTGAACCATAATGAAAAGTTAATCGGTCTTTTTGCCAACTCCATTAACAGAACCTGTTCCTCTTCGATTTCTAGCAACTCTAGATCCATCTCCAGGACCGTGATACCTTGCATACGTGCCATTGTTGTTTTGGAAGATAAAAACTCCCACCGGCGTCGCCGCTGTTCTCGCGAGTTCTCAAATAGGCTCCCCCTTGCACTTTGGCCAGACCCAAACGACGTTTAATATGTGTGGTTGCAGAAGTCTAATCTGCCCTTTAGTCAAAGATTTAATACCTCCCAATATAACTGTGCATAATTGCTCTACCTGCTAAACGTTTTTTTTCGCACCCTGTCATAATGGTTGATTGTTGCAGATGACCCGCTGTCAAACAGTGTTGGCCAGGCAGTAGATCCCAGCTTATAGGTGAAATTAAGAACACGTAGAGCAGCTTCAGGATTTAGCTGACTGTCCGATGGACCGCTTGCTCACCAGACTCAAATCTCTTCTGCTTTAATATTCTCCACAACAAGTGTTCTGTGGGGTAGCAGGGATAGTACAAGTCAGTGAATAGTTCAGTCTGAAATGAATGAAAATAGTTGTTTTAATGGTTATTGAGTCAGATATGTGGCGGTAATGTTTGGTTTGTCTAAAGGTTTTTATCTGTTACTGTGTAAATGGGTTTGGCTGTAATTTAAGGACATAATCTAATAGATCTGCAGTGTGGGAACTATAAATCTGATAGGAGTTTAATTTTTTTATTACTGTTTTTCACAATATGCTTAGTAAAATATTTTTTGTTGTTGAATATTAGAGATTTTGCAGATATATTTTTATACATACATTGTTTAGATTTACTTATATATTTCTACCCCTTTTATAGAATAGAATAGAAAATCCCTTTATTTTCCCACAATGGGCAAATTTACAGCAGCAGAAAGATTATTGAAAATGGTCTCACAAATGTGGACCTTAGAAAAATGCATAAGAATAACATAATAGTGAAGAGTTAAAATATAAAAAATACAATGCTGTAAAGTGTTTTAACAATATAAAACTGGAGAATAAATAACCAATATGCAGCTATGGACATTTTTCCAGTAATGGATATTTGAAAATAGCAGCAACATCAGAGATGTGCAGAATGACAGCAGCAGGTTATTTAACTGACTAAGGTTTCTATCATTACATTTGATTTGATTTATTCCTGCTCCCGGTGGTTGGAACCTTTATTCCACTCTGGATTCTTGTGAGTGTAGTCTTTGTTTATTTACAATAAAAAATAAATAAATAAACAAACAGTTTTGAAAACTTCGGTTTTCATTCTTTTCCTGCTTTGTGTGTCAACTTTCACGGTTGCTAAGCAACAGAGCATACGACGGTAAAACCCGCCGAACGGTAGACCTGTTTGAATTCACAGCCCAAAACTCTTCCGGTCTCCTTATTTTCACGGACTTCGAAGGATCCAGTCTAGGTAGACTGAGGTTTTCCCCAGTAGGTTATCTAATTAAGACAGCTCCTCTGTCCGGTTATACAGTTATAATCTTCATTCTGTATGTGGCAAATTCTTGGGAATGTAATGAGAGCGATATCCTTCAGCTAAGAACAACGTGTAATAGTAAGCGAGAAAAATTTACAAAAAATGTTGCATGAGGCCCAATGTTTTCCAAACTGAGAAAAACCATCATGCAATAAACAAAAAAGTATTTTTATCTCTGACAGCTGGAATTGCATTTCTTATCCATCAATTTAATTGTATAGCTTAGTGAAACGGGGACATAACTTGAACCAGTAACAAAGAAAAAAAGGCAGATGACAGAAGAAATTGATGAAGAAGAAATTAACAAAAGAGTGTATATACAAACACCTCATTGACACAGACTCCTTTATCCAGGGTACCACTGTTCCGATTCAGTCAGAAGCCAAACTAGATTAATTCGTTTATGCCCACTGGCCAAAACAGACAGCTTTACTATATTGTCCTTTAAAAATAAACACCGAGTATATTTCGATTGGATGATAATTGGCAAAACATGCCAATTAATACAAAAATTGATAAGCCGGACAAGAAGTCAAACATGGAGAAATTGGATCAAGTAAATTTTAAAGGAAGGAGAGAGCCTGCATTAATGCCTGAACTCATTCAGTGTAGAGAAGGGGTCCTCAAGTTCAATCCTCAAGAGCTACAAAAGACCTATTCTGCAACTTTATGATGCAAACCATTTTTAACACACCTGAATGAAATGAGTGACTCGTTACCATGCCTCTGCTCAGATGCATGAGGAAATTGAGCCTTTAGATTTATGTGTGTTAAAGGAGGGATTCATCTAAAAGTTACAGGATGGTAGCTGTTAAGGACTGGACTTGAGCACCCCTGCTCTACAGTACTGGTATGTCAAATTTTCCAACAAATGAAAGACCTGATTTGGGAAGTAGGGAAGCTGGCATTGGGTTGCCTTGCACTGGTCCCTTGACATTTCAGCTTCCTTTTTCTAAATTGGCTATGAAATTCCATCCTGCTTGATTCAGCTCCTCTTCAAATTTGAGGAGCATCTATCCATTCACTAGTGTTACAGCCAAAGCCAAACTATGGCATCAGCACCACCAGATATGCTCTGACTTTGGATAGTACTACAGCCTGCAACAGGAAGTGCTCTGCCATAAATCAACTCTCTCTGATGAGCTTTTAACTAAAAAAGATTTGTCTCTGCTGCTGACCATTGACTCTACATAATAAAAGCCTCTACATGATGCATGGATAATAATTGCAGTATATGGCTCAAGATTATGAACCAAACCACCCAGTTTCTATAAATCAAACTCTGGTAGCATTTTCGAAACACACCCCACTGCAAATTTCAAAATAAAAGTCTCCTATTATGCTTTAATAAAGCATCTATTTACCCAATAACTTGGAAAAAGACTGATTTCACAATTGAAATTAAGTATCACTGCTGGGTGTGAGCCTTTCTTCAACACACAACCCTAATAGACTTTCAAAGTAAGACTCCAGGGACTCTACAAAATAAATGCCTCTAAATCATACAAAGAGTCTTCATTATACACACTAATTCATTGTGACATAAGGCTCATCATTATAAACCAAACTCAACAAGTTTCTTAAAAATAGACTACAAAGGCATTTTTACAACTCACCAGGCAATCCCCCCCCTCCCCCTTTAACGACCGACTCTCAGAATCATAGACAGGGTTCAGATATTACAGGCTAACGATGGAACCAAACGACCCATTCATCGGTTACAATTTGCATGTTTCCAAGCGATACAAGGCTTTGTCTATATAAGACTTAAACTCACCGCAGATCCAGGCATTTGAATTGAGAAAGCTTCCTGGAGAGGTGGCGAAACGTCTTCAAATCTTGGAAACCAAGTCCAGTGGATATTTTTGTGAATTTTTACGGAATGACTATGACCTGGATGACTGAGAACCTTCATCAGCAACTCACCTGAGTACACTCACATTTCCTCTGTAATAAAGTGTTGACTAACCTACTAAGAAGGAAAAACAGAGATTTACTAATTGTAAATGGATTCAATATCTCTGCAGAACCTGACCTTATGCTAAAGACACAGCCCTGCTAGACATTTAAAATAAGAAAGCAGGTCTTCTACAAAATAAAAGCCTAAATAATATACTCAGCAATATATTGCATTATAGGGATCTGTCTAGTGACGCCTTTCACCAGTAGGTGTGGCGATGCCAGGCACCACTAGCTGTTGTGACATCAGTCGGCACTCTGTGTGGCGACACTATCAGGCACCAGGTGTTGTGACACCAGTCCCCAGTAGGTAAGGCAACACAAGTCGCCGCTATGTATGGTGATGCCAGTCGCCTTTAAGCCAGAACAAGAAAGTTACCACCTGGTATGGTCACATATGGCACCACAAGGTTTCACACTCTCACCCGATTAAAGGTGAACCCAACTATTCCCATTAAGCCTTTGGTGCCAGTACAAAAATTACTCACACACAAATACACACCATGTTGCAGGCACCACCAAAATTTCCATGGGGATTTTTCTAGTTTTGTCCATTTTCTCTCACAATGCAATGCATGCATGCATACCTGTTTTGTGGAAGAAGCGGTAGTAATTCCAAAGATTAGCATGATGATCATTCCAATTGCCATGAAACCTGCAAACTAAACCAAAAAAAAAAAAAAAACAATGATCAATTTTAATCTGTTTTATTTGGAATGGGTTGTTCTTTTTCGTTGTGTCCAAAATGTGACTTCCTGTACATACAACTTTTAGGCAGGCTTTTTTCTCAGTATGTGCAGCAATGCTGCCCAGCAACGAGATCCCCAGCATGGCAATGGCAAACACCCAAACCAAGAGTGTCCCCGGTGTTTCCATTGCTCTCATCTGGTCAGAGAGCAAAAACACAGGTTTTACTACAGAAGTAAAACTGATTATAACATAATATAACCCTCTTTTTAATCTTCTCTTTTTTAACCTCTCTCAGTGTCTCTATCCATTTATCCATGGAATTTAATATTCTTGTAACACAGTCATACATCACATAAATAAGAAGTTAGTTTCCTACATACTACAACATTTAACCACATGAAAAAAAACTATTCAAGTGTTATATTTAATTAAAGGACATTTTTTTAAATATCAGGAAGTCTAAATAGATATATTTTAAGATTTTCCAGCTGCTTTTTAAGAACAGCTTAGGTTTTTTGAAGTCTTCAAGCACCACTAACATACATCTTCAACAGTGTTTCACAGAATTTCCCAGTAATCACATGTATTTCAATCTGAAAAACTCACACAGAGAGAAAAGATAATTAGAAGAATTTATTGATAAGAAAGTATAGTCTTTGGCGCTCAGACCTCGGCAGGAACATTCATGCTGAATTATGCTTTAACATGCATGAGTAGATGAATGTGAATAGGGATGTTCCCCCCGGGCCTGAAACTGGTGGTGGTTTAATCCGAGCTGGTTGACAAGGTGATCTGCTGGGCAGAATTGTGGGACTAGAAGACTGAGGGAGCTGACGCCGGGGCTTCACTCAGACTCGGGATATAGAGGTCCTGCTCGGTGATGCAGGTACCGTGAAGTGTCCATGATGAGCAAGCATGAAGCGACAGTGGAGAGGAAAAACTCCCCTTTGGGAAGAAACCTCTGGCAGAACCGGGCTCAACATGGTGGTCTTCTGCCGGACCAATGCGATGAGACGAGGGATGGTGACAACTGGGATTAATACTCTCTGACGAGGTTGAGGTGAAGTCGTGTCATGGAGGACGATTCAGCTGCGATGGCGGAGAAGGGGATGGAGGTGGGTGAATTGTCGTCTGGATCGAAATCCGACATTGCGATTGCAGGATAGCGGCTGTGGTGAGATTTGGGGGAGTTTATAAAGTGGAAACAGGACGCTGATTGGGCTTCGTGGTGGAGTAGTTCAAAGCTGATTGGCTCGCTTCGGAGACGGATCGGCTTCTGATGATGTGAGGTAAGTCAGAGTTTCTTCAATTGAACTTTCGCTAGAGCTTCATTTCAATCTGAAAAACTCACACAGAGAGAAAAGATAATTAGAAGAATTTATTGATAAGAAAGTATAGTCTTTGGCGCTCAGACCTCGGCAGGAACATTCATGCTGAATTATGCTTTAACATGCATGAGTAGATGAATGTGAATAGGGATGTTCCCCCAAAAAGCCGAGGTCGAGGCCGGAGAGTCCGTATGCTCGTAGGGCATACGCTAGGGACGGAATAAAGAATGCGTAATGAAATGCTGAGAAGGTTTGCAAACAACTTACCGAGCCAGGTTGTTGATGAGGATGGCGACCACGGTTGACGCCGAGAACTTACCGATGATGATTTACCCATGATGATGATGATGAACCCATGATGATGATGATGATGAACCCATGATGATGATGATGATGATGAACCCATGATGATGATGATGATGATGAACCCATGATGATGATGATGATGATGAACCCTTGATGATGATGATGATGATGATGACGATGATGATGAACCCATGATGATGATGAACCCATGATGATGATGAACCCATGATGATGATGATGATGATGGTGATGATGAACCCATGATGATGATGATGATGATGGTGATGATGAACCCATGATGATGATGATGATGATGATGATGACGATCCCATGATGATGATGATGATGAACCCATGATGATGATGAACCCATGATGATGATGAACCCATGATGATGATGAACCCATGATGATGATGATGATGATCCGATGATGATGATGATGATGATCCCATGATGATGATGATGATGATGATGATGATGATGATGATGATGATGATGATGATGATGATGATGATCCCATGATGGTGATGATGATGATGATCCCATGATGATGATGATGATGATCCCATGATGATGATGATGATCCCATGATGATGATGATGAAGATGATGATGATGATGATGATGATGATGATGATGATCCCATGATGGTGATGATGATCCCATGATGGTGATGATGATGATGAACCCATGATGATGATGACGATGATGATCCCATGATGATGATGACGATGATGATCCCATGATGATGATGACGATGATGAACCCATGACGATGATGATCCCATGATGATGATGATGATGAATCCTGCGGATGATGATGACGATGGTGCATCCCATTATGATGACGATGATAATGAATCTTGCAGATGAGTCTGATAATGAATCTTGCGGATGAGTCCATATAGAACATATAACATGACGGGATACAGACATGACGAGACGCAGACATGGTGCATATTGATGCATTGGAAATGCAAGCAAAATGGCGTAGGGATGCATGACGAGACACGACGAGACACAGATAGGGAGCATGTGATGCATGGGGAATGAATCTTGCGGATGAGTCTGATGATGAATCTTGCGGATGAGTCCATATAGAACATATAACATGACGGGATACAGACATGACGAGACGCAGACATGGTGCATATTGATGCATTGGAAATGCAAGCAAAATGGCGTAGGGATGCATGACGAGACACGACGAGACACAGATAGGGAGCATGTGATGCATGGGGAATGAATCTTGCGGATGAGTCCATATAGAACATATAACATGACGGGATACAGACATGACGAGACGCAGACATGGTGCATATTGATGCATTGGAAATGCAAGCAAAATGGCGTAGGGATGCATGACGAGACACGACGAGACACAGATAGGGAGCATGTGATGCTGGGGAATGAATCTTGCGGATGAGTCTGATGATGAATCTTGCGGATGAGTCCATATAGAACATATAACATGACGGGATACAGACATGACGAGACGCAGACATGGTGCATATTGATGCATTGGAAATGCAAGCAAAATGGCGTAGGGATGCATGACGAGACACGACGAGACACAGATAGGGAGCATGTGATGCTGGGGAATGAATCTTGCGGATGAGTCTGATGATGAATCTTGCGGATGAGTCCATATAGAACATATAACATGACGGGATACAGACATGACGAGACGCAGACATGGTGCATATTGATGCATTGGAAATGCAAGCAAAATGGCGTAGGGATGCATGACGAGACACGACGAGACACAGATAGGGAGCATGTGATGCTGGGGAATGAATCTTGCGGATGAGTCTGATAATGAATCTTGCGGATGAGTCCATATAGAACATATAACATGACGGGATACAGACATGACGAGACGCAGACATGGTGCATATTGATGCATTGAAAATGCAAGCAAACATGACGAGACACAGACCAGACGTGACGTGACACACAGGAGAATGCATATAAATGCCTGTCATAAAGGTGAGATTGCATGAATGAGAGCCAGAATGAAGATAGCATGAATAGCAAGGAGACAGCATGGAAGACTGCATGAAGCAGGGAATAATGAAGAAAACTGATAAGGAGTGGGAGTAGAAAATGAGTTAGAGGATAGTCGAGATTAGGTCAGAAAATTATGAAAATGAGTTGAACCACCACCAGTATTTGTAATAAAGTTACCTAGAGGCAGAGAGAGCACTGAGCTGAGAGAATTGGTGAGAGTTCTGGGCGGATGAATGAGGTATAGGCTGGTGAGCCATCGGCCCAGAGCTGAGGGAGGGCTCAGAACCCCGCGAGTAGCTGCAATGCAGCTGCTCGGTCCAGAACGAATGCCCAGATTACCTACTAGAGGGAAGGCCACGTGATTCTAAGAGTATCCTGAGGTGGTGAAGAACCATGAGTGGACGTAGGGTAATGCTTGGGCAAATAAAAGTGCTGAATGCCTGAACATAACGCGCCGAGATGATGAAACGTTAGTGACTGCTGCCAGTGATGCTTCTGATGAAGGCATGAGAGACTGGGAGGAGGAGTGACTTATTAGTGGCTTCAACTACTACGAAGTTATCGCAGTGGGCGGACGCGATTCCTTCCCAAAGCCCCACGATGCAAGCTAGCTAGGGTTAGACCTCACACAAGCATAATAGGTGTGAATAAAAGAGGCCATGAACCCGTGAACCACCTGTCCTGAAGAACCCCCCAAAACCTACGGATGCAGCATCCGTAAAATTTTTGAAGCATGGCAGGAGATAGATAATGTCGACATAGAAAAGAAATTGTTCAATTAGAAGCAGTCAGACCAGGAGATCCGAACGGCAGCCTACGTGCAGTAATCTGACCAAGGAGAGGGACGGAAATGCCGGATCAAGCAACTGGGAATGAAAGCGCGGCCTTGAGAAATAAGCGCATGGCAAATTAGCTGACCTAGCAAGGAGCGCAATTGGCATTTAGAAATGACTGATGGAGAACATCAGTTTGTGTGTTTTTTTTTTTTTTTTTTTTTTTTTTTTTTTTGAAGAAGAAGAAGAAGAAGAAGAAGAAGAAGAAGAAGACAGAACGATAATCAGAAGTAATAATAAGGGGTGGTAAGATGACGGGCTGCTAAGACTGAGGTACGGTATATATGAAGCGTGCACGGTGGGGACAGACTGATCGGATGGCCCTCCTGCAGAAGCTCTGAGTAATCACGATAGATGCTGAATGCGGCAGAAAAATTTTGGCCAATAGAAAGATCTCTGGTAGACGGAGATCGGATGATTTAAGAAAAACTGTGAAGTCACCTGCTGATGCGACCTGCTGATCGACTTCAGGGGAGGGAAGAATAAGAGACTAAATTAAAATATTCCCCTGAATAATTAGAACGAGGCTAGTGAAAATATCAGCATGTGTGTTAATATAAGTATGCCTGATAGAGGCAGACGAAGCATAAGAGCAAACTCAAATAGATAGAAGATTATGAATGAAAACATGGTTGAATACGTCTTACCCTAAGGCTGGCCCAGGGTGGGCGTTCCCTAATGTGAATGAGGGGAGGGGGAGGTCCGTCTGAGCAGACAGCGGCAGGGATGACGTGGCAGTGCAGGGATTCCCACGTTTGAGCGTGCGGACAGCGTCGAAGGATTGAGTGAGAGAGTCCGGTGGAGCGGAGGGAGGCTGAGAGCCGTTAAACGCCAGAAGGACTAGACGGGGGAGCTGCTATGAATCGGGAAGCTGGAGAAGGTCCAAGGCTGCATCGAAACGATGAGAAGGAGCGGGCGCAGCGGTGACTGCTGCTGGGACAGATCCGGGAGGCCTTCTGTGCCTGGCGAGGGGAGCGGAGGACTTGCATGTCTTTTGCGGCCAGGAATCGGAGCGGATTGAAGCGGAAGGCGAGGGAAATGAATCACGAGGAGGTAGGAGGGAGGCTCGTTAAGACATCTGAGCAGTGTCTAGGTCGGAGCCTGGCAATATACCCTGGAGTGTAACGCGGAAGAAGGAGATGAGAGCGGCTAGACGGGAGTTTCTCCGAGCGGGGAAAATTGACTTGTCGTCTGGATCGAAATCCGACATTGCGATTGCAGGATAGCGGCTGTGGTGAGATTTGGGGGAGTTTATAAAGTGGAAGCAGGACGCTGATTGGGCTTCGTGGTGGAGTAGTTCAAAGCTGATTGGCTCGCTTCGGAGACGGATCGGCTTCTGATGATGTGAGGTAAGTCAGAGTTTCTTCAATTGAACTTTCGCTAGAGCTTCATAATCACTTAACAACCACTTTGCTCTTCCAAACTCTCCCAGATTAACTGACTGACTTAAACAGGGCAGTCTACACCACTTTTGGTCTTATTCTCCATTTTACACAAAATTATTGTAGATCACACACACTTTTTCTTTGCTAAGGACTTTCCTGCTGCTTATTATTTTTTTAGTAGATAAGGCCTGAAGTGAGTTGACCACTCAAGACTATCCCACTGGATAAAAAAGTTAGCTTTCTGAACACTTCCTATAGGTTTAAATATTATTTTCACATAGTGGGTTGTAAATTATTAGATCATGTAAAATATAAAGTAATTTAAACGGTATACATTACCTCAACATCCATATTAGTTGCTACTAAACCGTAGATCAGTAAAGCCCCACACAACTAAATCGAGAAAAATCTGTTAGTTTCATAAAAATGACTTAAAAAAAGCACAAAAAGAATTTGAGATTTGCAAAGAAAATGATATTGAGTTAATAAGAATATGTCACTCAGTAATCATAATTCATTGTAGTCTTTTAAGAGTGTGCAGTAGTTTTGTATTCATGTAGGATTCATTCTTCCTTAGAACTTAAAAACCACACTTAAAATAAACAAGTCCTTTTTAAGTGCATAGTCAGGTTTTAATATACAAATATCACATTCTCTTAATGTTCCATACGTCTGAGCTCTTTCAGTTTTGCCATTTTCATACAACTTTTTTTCTAGAAAAAAAAAGGGGTCAGAAAGGGTTCAAAATGTTTCTAAACTTCTTGATCTTGGTTGAAACTGAAAAAAACAAAAATTCAAACAGAGAAAAATAAGGTAGTATTGAATGTCAGATTCTTACCCTGTAATCTGAGAAACTAAAAAAAAACATAGAATAATAAGAATTGAATCTAAATTCTTCTTTTTTTTTTTTTTTGCGCTTGCGGCAGCGCTGGAGAGATGTCCCATTCCATGTTGCATTCATGGAGTGTGGAAACTCCAAATACTTAGTGAATGCCATCTCTGCAGAATTGATTTGCTTTATTTGGCAACATCCTGTGAAAAATATTATGTTAAACACATTTACACTGGAGCTGTCACTAATCATCACTCCAGAGTGCGTTAATAAATATAAAAGTAAACAGCCATTGTATAATCCGCAAAACTTTCCCCTGACCACGAAGCAAATATATCCAGAAAAATGGTGTCTGCACTGAGTGGTTCGAGAGGCACTATTACTCAGGTAAGTTTAATCTCTTTAAAAACTACTTTGTTACAGTCCTAAATGATGCATTGAAGATTAAAACCTTTAAAAGGCGTTAAAAGGGAAATACGCTCCTAGCTATGTATTATGTGGTGGAACCTTGACATGAAGAAAAATGTAACATTAATTTCTAAACAGAAGTACAATTAGTTGAGACTTTGGTCATTGCAAATGAATGCATTAGCATAATTTGCTGCCAGACAGGGCAGCTGTAGCTGATTTCATGAACAGGTATTAGTTTTAGGTTAGCCACAGCAGGCTACATGCTGATGATGATTAGTGACAATTCCAGTGTAAATGTCTTTAACATAATATTTTTCACATGATTTTGCCAAAAAGGCAAATAAATGCCGCAGAGAATGTGTCCACTAAGTAGATGGAGTTCCCACAGTCCATGAATGCAACATAGATAGAGACATTTCTCTACCGCTGCTGCAAGCTGTCAATCATGTTTCCCCGCCCACTCCCTTCAGACTGGGGTCAAAATCTGAATGTAAAAAAAAAACTGATTTGAATGTGTAAAAAAAATCTTGAAACTGAAAAAGGAATTTGAAACTAAAAAAAAAAAAAAATTAAGGTAATGGATTTGAATCTGAAAATATATAACATCTAAAACTGCAATAAAGAAAAGAAATCAAAAAAGTGTAATTAAAATACTAATCTGAATTTAGATTCAATTCTAATTATTTCATGTTTGCCTTTTTAATTTGTCACATTATAAGGTAAAAATTTCACATTAAATATAAACTTCTATTTTTCTGTTTCCCCTTTTATTTTTTCTGTTTCAACTAAGATTTACAAGTTTACAAATATTTTGACCCCTTTCTGACTTCATCTTTAACAGTAATAATACATTGAATAGTAATGAGCAATTTGTAACTCTTCAAATATCAAATCAGGTGATGTAATTTAAGTTTTATTGAAAGGTACGTTCCATTTACAACTGTCAAAATCTTTTTATCACTCATCTACTTTTTTTTTTATATCCCTAATTTTATCACAGGAAGGAAATTAATCTGATGTTAACACAACAAGCATAGCATTTGTTTGATAAAGGGAGCCATTCACAGTAGAATGATGCATTTTACCCATCGATGTACATCATCATAATTTCATGGTAGATATATAAAACTATTTTTAAACATGGCAATTTTCTCTGGTTGCATAATCATTACATATTTGACATTTCATCAACTTTAAAACACCAGAGGGTGACAAAAAGCTAAAACCACAACTTTAGATTTAGATCAAAAATGCTGATAAGATTTTATTTAAGATATATAGAAAATAAAATACTTCAAAAGGTAAGATGAAAATAAAAATGGTAAAAGGAAAATAACAGTTTAGTACGGAAAGTCTTATTTTGATAGATTATTAAGCTTTATAAAGGATACAGATTGACTCTGACAAATTTAGTTTCATTTGAATAATTCTATTTAAATGAAAAATAAATGATATAATTTTGTATATTGAAATAAGTTTCTAATTCCACTTTTGTGCAAAAGCATTAGTTTATGAAATGAAATCTGTTTTTCAATTATTAGAAAAAGCCTTTTCCTTTTACTCTTTTTTATAGTTTATCTTTTTTTATAAATGGTATACATATAAAAATCTATATATCCTTACCCTCTCTCAACTTTTTTCTTATAAAGACAATATAAATCTTGCTTTGAAGAGAATGTAAAGTTATCTGCAAAAATGTATTTACTAAATGTAGTTTGAAATAAAAAGTCTATTTTCCTTACCGCAAACAAGATATTAAAGGAGACGAAAATAGCCTTTAGACAACTGTTAATTTTCCCCATATTTTCTTTTTCCGTTGACAACAGAGTAGAGACGGAGAGATCTGTACTATAGATAGATGTAGTTTAAGTGAGCTGCTGCACCCCTTACAGGCAACCACACCAAAGAGGGAAGCAACAAAGAGAACCAATCAGCAGCCAGTCTGTGAAACCTTTAGATGATCATCAAGTAGTTTTCAAATAAAGCCCATTACATGGGGAAAAAAATACACAAGACTAGCAAAATATTAAAATAAAAACTGCAGAAGCGTTGCTGCAGAAAGGAGATCAAGCAGAATTATACTAGTTGAAATTCATACTGTTTTAATCACATGACCAAACACAAAATGAATATAAAGATACTTAAAGGCAAAACTAAAATCTAAAAGCAGTTATTGAATGTGATGCCAGCACACAAGTGAGAGAAATGGAAATAAAATTAAAAGAAGCTAATGAAACAACCATCTCCACAAGAAAAGGAGGTCTATTGGTGAAGCATATTTTATTAACAAGAAAATTCAAAGTTCAGTACATGAACAAAACAGAAAAAGAAGACAGAGAGAAATACATTGCCATTTCCTTATAGAGACAGCTTAAAATAAAGGCTGAACAAAAAATTTTAACCAATGTTTTAACAGTTTTAACAATCAAAGGCATCTCAGTAATGTGGATTTTAAACTTGAAATCAACTTAAGCCCGGCATACACTGTGCAATTTTCGGGGCGATTTTCCAGTCGTGTGAAAATCTTTCGATCGGGCCGACTTTCAGCTGGATCGTGCGCCGTGAGTCGTGTAGTGTACAGGGGGTTACGAGCAGCGATCAGCCTCTCACGACAACCTCCCGATCAGGAATCGTGAGGTCTGGAGAAAATCAAACATGTTTGATTTCCTCCCGACCATCGTTGGTAAGTCGCTCAGGGCGCAGGCGCAAAGAAAGATTCCTCTTTTTATTCTTCCTCTCAGATGTAAACACAGAAGCATGGCGGGGATGCAATGAGTGAAATACGGTTCCATCTGCAAAATTGACGGACCGCAGCAGCCACGCCTGCTCAACCACGTCTTTTTTCCAAATATGTTGTTGCCCTTTCTTTTTAGGACTTTCAGCACAAAATAGCAAAAATTGACATAGCAGCACGGTTCACTATATAGAGCTTAATATCCCTTTTCTATTTGTTTGGCTTCAGGATAGAGAGCTACAGAGCAGCTCCATCTCACTGCGGAGCTCAGTCCTACGTTGTTTTAGTCGTAGAGTGTGAGCAGGTAGATCGCATAGAAGCATCTGGCCGAACATAAATCGTGAGCTAAGAGTTCACACTGTACGACTAAACCCTGTGTTTGGTAATACAATGTGAGCTGTAGATGAGTACAACGATTGAAAAAAATCGCACAGTGTACTCCCGGCTTTAGGTTTCAGCAATTTCACAGACAGGACACCTTAAAGGTATTGTGGAGGATTGTCGCATTTTTTCATAAAAGACCCGCCCTTTCCAATTTACAAAAGAAAATGCACATGCACAACCCTGTACTCGCTCCCAAGAGGAAAAGCCTACTAAACGCATGCAAGACCGAACATGAGCCAATTTCTCCTTGTGCGCGCTCTGTTTAAAAGTTGCTGTTCTCGTAGCTCATACAAGCTTACTGTGTCTGAATGTCCGCCCTAACCCCTAAATCCCTCAATCACTACAGACTATATAATGGAGTTTATAGTGAACTCAGTTAATTTACCGTTCGGACAGATGATCACTGCTTTTTGCTCCCGTTGGTCACGTAACTCCTCCTCCACTGCACAGTGCCTGCGCCATCTGTGTTGGCAGGTGGCGACAGCTTCAATGACTGTCTGAAACCGTAGCTCACCACAGATACACGCCTGAAAGTGTGCATGCGCAGAAAAAGATAGCTAAGGCCCCGTCCACACGAAGTCAAAACGAAAACGAAATGCTAATATTTTCCAGAACGTTTGTCGTAAAGACGGAGACGTAAAATAAATGTGATCGTCCACACGAATGCATGAAAACGCTGCAAAATGTATGCCAGGCCTGTAAGTGGCGCTGTGGTGCCAAAGAAAAAAATAGGCGACGAAATGTTGGGCATGCGCACTAATATTTATCCATTTTCGTGGTTCAGTCAAATTCAGGTGCTGAACTATGTCGTCAATATTGCTCTGTTCTTCCTGGAGATATACCAGAAGAAGAAGATTCTGTTGTAAGCCCGACAGCAGGGTAAGTAGCATGAGCAGCAACCATTCAACACAGTAAGGCGCCATTGTTGTTGTGATACTGTGTCACGCATGCGTGTTTAGAGGCGACGCTATGACGCATGTGTGTAAGAAAAAAAATGCGGTTAGAGGTTAAAGATGGAAACTCTGAAGGCTTAAAAAAAGATCGTTTACAGACCCCCGAAACGCCGGCTTCGTATGGATGAGAGGCTGGTTTGGTGAAAAACTTGTGCGTTTAGGCCAGGGTTTGGCTTCGTGTGGACGGGGCCTAAGTGGGGACAAGCATATAGGACAGGCTTACGTAAACAAATCACCGGAATGATCGACAATTAATAGGAACAGCTGTTTAGATGATCCACAAGGAAATAAAAGGTTGTCATCATGACAAGATTGTCATCATCCTTTACGTTCTCGGTTAATATTTTGGATGGCCTTAGGGCTCCACGGTCAGAGAGAATCTCCTAAGGTACTCCATGGAGTCAAATAACAGTTTTTACTTGCAAGCAGTTTGAAAGGCTAAGGGAAGCTTCTTAAGGAGGGTGAGATAGTAGGCTTTAGATAATTGGTCAGTTATAGTTAAGATTGTGGTGAAACCCTGACATGAAAAGTCCTGTGACAAAATCCAAAGCTACATGGAACCAATGACGGCTGGAGATGGACAGAAGTTAAAGGAGTCCATCAGTTGTGGCCAATTAAAGACTTTTTACGGCCAAAGACAATGCAAGTCTGAATCCTTCACCTCCAGGCTTGGACTGGGAACAAGAGAGAGGAAGATTGTAGTTAAACCCAATTCTCATGGTCACTCCACACCAATACAGGATGAGCAACCCCTTCTAACTAATGCCACTCATCTAGAGCCAATTCAATGTCTAGAAGCTCTCCATCGCTATGACTGCAACTGCACTCTGAGGTGAAAGGAACGTAAGAAAGAAAGCGTTTCATTTGCCATCCCTCTCAGAGTGCTGCAACAAAACAGCCTCAACTCACAAATCTGTAGCATCAACCTCACCTCCAGGATGAAATGTTTATGAGAGCCAGACTGGACAAGAACTGAGGCCACAAAGAAATGTTCTTTAAGTTTAAAAAAAGCGTGTTCTGCTTCTGGAGTCCATGTGAATATGACTTAGAATAGAAGTAAGCGATGTAAAAGGCACTGCAATTTGGCTGTATTTCATTTTTAAGCACCTGTAGAATTTAATAAAGCCCAAGAAACGGTGAAGCAGCATGCAGGTCTCTGGCACTGTTCACTCATTAACTCCCCTAAGAGATTAATAGTGGTTTTCTTTCACCTTTTAGATGTGCAAGATGAATATTTAATCTTCAATGACTAGTAAAGTGCCATTCAATTTTCCCTAGGATTGATGACATATTTCCGCCCTAGGGCGCAAAAATCTTTTCCCATAAATTCTCGTTAAAAGTTGTACATGCGCAATGTTTTGTGTGCAACACAAAAGTATAGGATAGCAGAATAACAGGAAGTGTATTTGCTCACCATGTCCCGTCACAGCGCAGACGTTTTGCGGGTGATTGACTGATTGAGTCTCGGGAGTTTGAGACGCATTGGAGAGAGAGAGAGAGAGAGAGAGAGAGAGAAAGAAATGACACAAGATAACTCCTTTTCCAGGACCCGGTTTAGCAAGAAGGCTTGGCTAACTGCATGTGGCGAGGCTAAAGCTTTATCCTGCTTCCTTTTTCAAATGTCAGGATCTGACCCAGCATGGATAGTCAGGTAGGACTGATTTAAAGAACTTTTTAGAAAAAAAGCAAAGAAGAATAAACAATCTGGGATTGACATAGAAAATAATATTATATGGTGTATTTTTTGTAGATATTTTTTTATTTAGTTGCTGTTAAATAAATACATTTTCAGAAAATAAATTTTTTAGGTATAAAAATATAAATCTGACTAATAGCTTCTCCATTATTAAACTGGCACATTATTCTTTTAGGCTTGTGACAAAATACTGGACCATGCCAAACACAGATTTGCCTTCACAAAGCCTCAAAACGCCAAGAATTATGTACAAAAATAAACCTGTACATGGAATTATGCTTTGTTTTTAGAAATAGTTTTTTATGTTGTTTTTTTTGTTGTTGTTGTTGTTGGCATTCATATAAATTGATTGGTTTTTGGTATGTGTCTATAATGAATTTATAGCCCCCCTGGAGAAAAAATCCATCAGCCGCCACAGGAAATCACTCATATTTTGTTTAACAGTTATAGGTTTAGAGAGTAAAAGATTGTTTCCTTTAATGTACACATTGAATGGGGTGAACACAGAAGCAGAAAGGCACTGAGAATGATGCATTGTAAAGATCCACCTCAAGGTTGAGATCCAACCTTGTTTTTCAGTATTTTCGAGTAGCTAGCTGACATCATTCTTTGAGCAAAATTGTTGCTGATGGTAAACCTTACTTTCATTATCAAAAAAGCTGAGATTTCGACTGTCGTTTTTTGTCCAATTTAATTTCATGAAAGATTTAAGTGATCACTGATCATGATATATATTTTTCAAGCCACAGATAATGGGTTCCCACTATCCTTTCTGTTTTTAATAATACGTTGCAAAGTCCTTCACCCAATTTTTGTAGCTTCTACAGTTTCCAAAGACATTTTCTCTCTTTGCCCATGTTTGAACCTTCTGAAACAGACTGATATCTTACACTACTATGACCAATGGATGTTTTCATGGTTGTTTTAGAAAAGAGAAATAACTCATTGCACATGTTAGGGTTAAAAAATTTGCTCTGCCTATTTTTTTTTTTTTTTGAAAAGGCTTTTTGTTGGGAAACCTTAAATTGTCAACAAGATGTGTTTAACATTTGAAGCTTTGTTCTTTGGAAAGTTTTACAAACAAACTAAA